AGAGGGGTTTATAGGGGATTAACTTTATAAAGTGGGGTATAGAGAATGGGACTTTGAAAAGACACTAAATTGGCTTTAAAAGGGAAGGAAATGCCCACTAACAAAAAGTCATTTTTATTTCTTGAAAACAGGTTATTTACTTAACATATAAAATATAATAAAAACAAAAATGGAGGTGGGGTGAATAATTGATGAGTTGTTAACAAATTGAAAGGATGAACACAATGCAACTTCAATGAAGTGGGATACCTTTTTAATTAATTTAATATAAAGTCAGAATTTCATATCTTACATGCTTGCCTTTGTGTCTGTTCTCTACCTATCAATACAATAATTTATTTTATATTTTTATGGATTTCAATGTATCGCAGAACAAAACATATGTAGTTTTACGTTTCATGTCGATCTTTTGATGAAACTTGGTGGTAGTTGATGATAAGAATCATAGAAAAAAAGATAATTGCTCCTAGTCGGTTTTATTTTGTAAAATGGATTACGGACCAAAATTTGTTTATTTATGTTTCATGTTGGATAAGTTAATTGGAATATAATGTGTAGTTGTTAACAAAAGAATATGCTAAAGATTGTGTTAGGAAAAAAAAACAAAACAAAACCATTAAAGTGAGGCAAAAATACATTGTAGTGTTAAATATTTGAGAGATGCTTTAAAGTTTAAACCATCAAAACTATAGTATTTATTCCTTTTTGTAATATCGGAGTGATGCTTTTAACCAGAAATTATGGTTTTATCATTATACTTGTTAACATAAAGGAACACTAACTTATGAAATAGTGTGAAAAGTGAAAACACTAATAAAATTTGTATTATTTCTGCAAAATAACCATTAAAAATCTTCTGTCACATATTTCCACCATTTTTTTATTGCGTTTCAACAGTCACGATGATTTACGTATTATATAAAATCAAATTTTTAGCCTAATAGGTACGAAAAAAATATATATGCGTGGAAGAAGAATAAAGGAGACTTTTTTTCAAATTTTTTTTTTTTTTTTTAAGAAAAGCACGTTATAGACTTATAGCAATTTAATTACTTAAGGGCTAAGGCCATATGTTGACGAAGTATGGGCCATAATTAGCCCATGAGCAATAACGCATCTCGGCAAAACATTTGTATCTTAATTATTATTTTCACGAAATTTATTTATTTATGAGTCTATAATAAAATTTGTATTCGCCTCTATTAACAGCGAAAATTTGTTGGAGGGATACACTCACATGCTAATATTGCATGTGCATCCTTTCGTTGATATATGAACACATAGTCCTTGGTGTGTGTCAAGGTTTTTTTTTTTTTTTTGGCATATGTCCAGATTAAGTGAAAATGAAACTACAATGTATGGTAGTCTGAATAAATGTTGAAACCTTAAAACCCATTAAAGTAAAACATGAATAGAAGATACCAAAGTACCAAACTTAACGTTACAACCCAATGGACAACATTTTTGTTTCTAAAAATAAGAAATCACGCCAATTGATGATCAAAACATGAAGTAAGGTCCTTTTTTTTCCATTTCCATGGATTTGTCAACACCATAAAGAAAAGAAAAACTACAATCTTTCACCATTTCCATTACAGTGCTCGGGTCCCTAAAAAAGGCCGAGTCAAATGTTGCTTTAATTACATATAGATTCGCTATATACAGATATAATATACAATAATCTTCAAATAGCAAATGCTCTACATTTTGGAAAGTGAAAACCCTACCTTTTTGGAATCCTTTTAAAGACCGATTCATTCATATCAGATATTCATATAGCAAGAAATGGGTATCTGGAACAACAAATGGTAAGCTCTCAACGTAAAGATAGAAGCATCTTAGATTCTCTTTAGCTAGAGTGATTAGGTCAACTGAATCGCTTTCATTGGTCAAAACCCATAAGTCTCCCGAATGCACCTTCTTTAAGCTTCCTCTACAGAATGGGCATGACTTAGACCTCATGTTCCTGTTACCATAGTTTTCATTAAGAAATTGTTAGAGCCACCAATTTCAACTCATTTACCTAAAAATGAATCAATTTGTTGCTATTATGGGTAAAAAGAAAAAGATAATGTACATTGTCTTTAATCCCCACTATTTTCCCTTTATAAAATTCAAAATAACAAGTCAAATGGCTCATGGGCCAAGAGACCCGACCCGTATTATAACTAGAAGTTTCAACACAAACCCGTTACCCAACCCATGTGTGTGTATGTATTTTGAGCACAAATGTCTTACCAATCACGAAAGCACCCAATGCACATTGAGTGGCCACAATTAGGCATCGCCATTTTATCACATGTTTCCATACATATCCCACATTCATCATCACTTTCAACGTCTTTACAATGGCTTTTCTTGTCGTCGTCATCATCATCATCCCTCAATTCAATCAAATAATCCTCCAGTTGTTTGAGCGAAGGGTATATAACAGCTGCAAGAATCATCAAGATATAAGAACAAAAATGTCGAATTCATTTTAAAGTTAAACGAAAGATATACCATAGAATTCTCTAAGTGTAGCTTTTCTTTCCTGAGACGACATTGTTTGAATGCCATCAACGTAAACCTGTACATTCAAAGATCGGAACTTTTTTTTTTTAAATTTTGGTAACTCGGGATTTTGTAATCTAGGTGGTTCGAATAGAGAATATGGATCATTTTTGACCTTGTATACGAGTATATGAAGAAGGCCAAGATAACTTGGAAGCGAATCTGTACAGCTGTAGTCCATCCAGTCAATCAAATAGAGCAAAAATGGAGCAAAAGTGCCGTATGATAATTTCATTCGAACGGAATCCCCTTCATCATCTGGAGGTAGAGCAGATGCTCTGTGAATTAAAATCAAACAAAAACATCAAATTGATGTAAAAGTTCGAAATTAGAAACTAATTATTCGACTCTTAGAAAGTCAACACTGTAACATGAACATGATTTGTAAATTGAAAAATAATGGTACAGTAGACGAACTCGTGAACAAGAAAACAAACAGTCAAAGATGATAATTCGGGAAAAAGGACAAAAGTGTCACAGATTATGACCCAAAACCCCGAACTTGATTATGATAATTAACAAAAATAAAAAAATAATACTGTCAGCAACCAATAAAAAGAAAAGTAGAAATGTAGAGAGAATATTTACAGGGCATTGGCATGGTGGATATGAGCTTCAAGGGTTTTAATGGATTCTCTAAAAAGAGAACTGTTGCTGTGGGATTGTTTGTGATACATTAATCCTGAAACCCTTTTGTGTTCTGAAGCAGATTCTGAAGAGAAAATAAGAAGTGGAGAGGAGCAAGAAAAGAGGGTTTTTAATGGCGGAAATTTGGGTTTAAGAGGGAGAGAGAAGGAAGGGTTTGTTTGTGTGTTTGTTTGTTTGCTTAAAGGTGTAATCTTTGCAAAGAAAAGAAAGGGATATCTTTGATCTTCCTTTGCTTCTTCTCTTTCTTATCGTAGTATCTTTTGTCACCTTCTAAGTATTTTTGTTGTAGGTCATTGTTTAGCGATGTTAACGGGATGTGATGTGGTGTGGGGGTTCTCCTTTTAATTTCAATTTTTTGTTTTATTTTAAATTTTTTAATTTGGATTTTATTTGAGTCGAATAAGTGAATAACTAAATTTCAAAAACTTGGTAGCATCATGACATGGACACACTGTATCTCCGGACCCATGTGAAGTCCATAATCCATTCGTTTGGAAGATAAGCAAAAATGGCATGTTTATTTTTGGAGTCTATCCGATTATAATCCTCACAATGTTTCATATATTTTAATAGAAAAAAAAGGCAAATTACATTAATTTTACTTTTAGTATCTTTTAATATTTAAATAATAATATTTTTTAAAATAATCATCAAATTTAAAGATGACATCTTTGAAATAGATGATGTCCGCTAACGTTTTATTTAAAAAAATCATATGATCATTTTGTATATGATATTTGTGTTCTAACAATCTCATCATATCATATCATACTATATTATAAATGAAATATTTTTTCTTTCATCGCATTGATTTGAAACTCCCAACTTTTCATATTTCCATACAACATGTTTAATTTATTAACTTAAATATGCTTTTAGTTGTAAACATTATCATAAATGGAAGAATTTGTGACTTATCAATATGATATATTTAATTTGTTAACTTCAATATATAGTTAAATAAATAACCTACATTAATATATCAAATAAACTTAAAAATTTAGTGTAAAATTTAAAACCTAAAGTAAAAGATTAAATAATATTTAAAAAAGTTCAATATATATTTTTTAACATAGTTAAAAGGAAAACATTAAATATAATAATAATAAAAGAACCTAAATTGATTAATCGAATTAACTAAAAGGTGTCTGAAAACTATATTCTAACAATATATTTTTAACATGCGTCGTGTAACGCACGAGAATTCGTCTAGTAATTACGAACGAGTTAATAAATGTAGTTTTTCTAGTAAAATTAGAATAATATTAATTACTTTTTACCTACCACTTTATTTGAGTATTATATAAAATATTTTAATCCTAAATAAAATATTTTAAATCCTAACATTTCCTTATTCACTAACTACAAAATGAATTTAGCTACATTTGGTGTTTAGCATTGTAAAAAAGAAGATAGTTATATTTGTTCCAATATTAACCCATTTTCTGATGATCTTAAAGATTCATTACTAGATAAAATGTAACATCATATATTTGAAATAATGAAGTAAGTTGTAATAAAATACTTTAAACACCCTATATATTCTCTTGTTATTCACCATAAGTGTTTTTTACTTGCTACTTACATCATTCATGGGAAATTTCTAAACATATTTGTTATATCACGAAAAAAAAATACACATAAAATTTGTTATTTTGTTAGAATATTTTATATTAAAATGCTTATAAAAATCGTAATGTTAATTTACTTTGATAAGAGGTTCTAAATTAATAATCTTCTTCCAGAATATGAATACTAGATATCCATGATGTCAAAAGTTGTAAGTTGTAACATTCGATTAATAATTAAAATATATTAAATTAAGTTCTCTTGTGTATATTGTGACTTTACTATGCAACATCATAATTTACAAATTCTAAACTTTATCTTTTATTTTTTGCATTTAATTTAATAATAATAATAAATGTTGTATAAATAAATTTTGGAAATTTAAAAATTATTTACAATGTTATTGACAAAATATCTACTAATAATTTATTATAAATGATAGTATCTGTCTTTTTTTGTCATTTCACAACGAACAAATATTAAAAAGTAAATTGTTATATTATTTTATTATTGGTACGTCATAAGTTAAATTTAATATTTTTTTTAAAAGTGTGCTCGGTATCGAATAACCAAATAAACACTTCTACAGGAAAAAAAAAAATTAAGATGTGTCCCAAATATTCCTTATGTTTATATGTAATCTAATATAAGTTGAAAGTTCAAATGATAGTCTATATAGAAACCGATTGGTATAATACCATCTGGTTCTTGGCTAGCAAATTCTCAAACTTTATATTATAATTTTGTACGGTTGTATAATCCTAATTTTTGACTTTTTTCATTATTTTTATTCATATCATTGATGAGCCTAGTATATCAAAAATAATTTAAGATAATCATGACTTAACGACAATTATCAATTACATATCATCTCACAATACAAAAGCTTTTTTAGTTTAACTTTAGTAAATGTTATGGATTCTTATAGTAAGTTATCTAAAATTTTTAGTAAGAAATTTACGTATCTTATCACATTGCAAAAGTTTTTTGGTTTAACTTTTATGGATTATAGATTCTTATAGTAAGTTATCTTAACTTTTTAATAAGAAATGTGGGAGTAAATCATGACCACATGAAATTATGTTAACTTTTTAATAAGAAATATGGGCGTAAATCATGACCACATAAAATGGTTGAGTAACACTTTCATTAAAAATAGTGTTTTAAACTATGATTATTTTTATTAGATGTATAAATAGAGAAATTTGGACAATAGGGCATAATTATGAGCTTCCTTGTTTGTATTTTTTTTTCTCTATCCAGGCTTAAACATTTCATTTATGCGATTGCGGGAACGGATTGTTTGGTAGTAGCAAGTGCCAAACTTTTTGAGTTTGAATGGATTGGTATTTGACTTTGTCCATTTATACCATTTATATTTTTGCTGCTATAAAAGGGATGGATATAATTGAGGTTAGGTTTAAAGTTGTCATGGAAATAGAAGGACCATCCAACCAATGGCCAAACATTTCTAAAATAAAACAATCGTATTTTCGACTAATTTATATTTTAGGTAATATATTGTAAATGAAACACCTTCATTTCAATAAACATGTTTAAAACCTATAATATAAAAAGAAATTAAGTTACCTTCATTTCAATAAACATGTTTAAAACCTATAATATAAAAAGAAATTAAGTAATCTAATAATAAGCGTTTTAAATATAATTTTTTTTAGTAAAAAAAAAATAATCGCTTTCTCCCGAATGTCTTCCTTCTTAACTTTGTTCTTATTTTGAAGTTTTTTTCAAAGAGATTTTTGTACTTATGTCTAAAATGTTTATTTTGGGGTGTCTAAATAAGCATTTATTCCTGAATGCTTCATTTTGGATTTGATCTTCAAAAATCGAAGTTATTTTTTGGTTTTTTTTTCCATATTTTTAAAGAAATATTCTTATTTATGTCTGAAATGTCTATTTCGAAGTGTTTAATGTCATCATTTCTCAATAAAATGTTTGATTTTATATACAAGTATCGTATATAGTTCACATTTACTATGTTCAACTTTTTGTTGGATTTAAGTAAAAAACGTTTTTTTTTTAAATTCTATAATTGTTCATCGGATTTCAGACTTGTTCTTGAAATTTCAAAGTTTTTTATTCTTTTTTTTTTCTGAAATCCTTAATTTTTGTAACACCTCGGATTTCAAACTATTTTTTTTTTCATTTTTAAATTACCTAAAAATATTATTCATCAACCAAACCATTAGAAAATCCCAAGTATCAAGTACAAGTCTTCACTACATATGTCAGAGTTCCAGAACATGCCAAGTAACAAAATCTTTAAACGAGTGTGTATAGTCAAACCTTCGCTTTCCCGCGATCCTCAGAAGTATCTGAAACACATTTAATTAACAACTGTAAGCACAAATTTTAGTGAGTTCTCCAGAATACCACATACAACACCATATAAATAAATAGCTATGGGTTATCAGTAACCATGGGGACTATCAGCAGTCCTAGTGGGCAAACAGTACGCCCTGTGGATTATCAGCAACCATGTAGACTTCCCAAAGTCTCAGTCACGCATAAACAATATAACACAATAATAACAACTAGACCCAGTTGGTCATCACAAATACAACTATTCTTCCACACATGTAAGAATAAGTGAGGAGACCCACCTGACACTGATACAGATAAATCTCACACCCGAACTGTCGGAACTAGAGTCCTTCTAATAACACAATAATAAACCCTAATTAATAATTATGGTCCATAACCCAACTCACATGTCCAAATCCCACAACTATACCCCTTGAGGTCAAAATACCATTTTGCCCCTCCCATGCTCCAAAACCCTAAAATTTTGACCAAAATTCAATGTCAGGGAAAAGTCAACTACCCAACACGTATGTTGGGCGTACTCTCCCTACACGTCGTCTACTCGAAGAACCAGGTATATCGGAGTCATGCCTGGCTACGCTGGGCGTAGCCAAAAGTACGTTGGGCGTACATCGTCTGTTTCCAAAATTCACTCCATAAGGTATTAATCATTAATATCCAAACATAGATCTGACCACCATAGAACGTCTTAACACATAAAGGCCATCACTTTAAGCCTTTGCATGGCTGAAATCAGATTAAACCTCAAAACCCTAACTTAAACCATACTCAACACCACCACTAAACTCTTGCATGATTAGAAAGAGACCATCAAGCAACCATTATTATGAATCAAAATGACTTAAAACACCTGAAAGGATAACTACAATGCTATGGAGTACCTCATACTCACAAAGGTCCAAGTTTTGGGACAAAAAGCTCATAAAACCCCATCGAAAGAGATCTGAGAAGAACATTAGCAAGGTATGGACTTTATACCTTCAAAAGAAGCACCGGATGAAGGAGTTTCTGGATCTTCAAGCTTACATGCAACACCACCTTCTTCAAGGACATTCTTCCACAACAAAGGTGCACAAAACCACCAACAAGACTCCAAGATCTTCACACTCAGGGCTAGGGTTCGGTATTGAGGCAAAAAGGGAGTGGAGGCTGATTATGGAAGGTCCAAGGGTGAGTTAAAGTGTTTGAATATGGGTGAAACCCTAAAATTTAGGGTTTAGGGTATGAGCTAGTACGCCCTGCATACCAGATGTACGACCAACGTACTAGCATGGCTTCTACGTTTCCAATTCTCTCACCAGTACGATGTGTGTACCTCATGTACGCCCAACGTACGGGTTGAATTGCAATTCTTTTAAAA